GTCATTTAAGCTATAAACTGGTTGAAGCTCTCTTGCCTGTTTTCCATAGACAAGGATGGAGAGGTTTTAAATGCCAGTATACCCCAGATCTTTAAAAATATCTCATAGGCCACAACTAGATAACTCACTGAAGTTTAGAGTTGAACTGGACCTACAAAGATTACAGGTACCATAAATGAATCTAATTTGGTACATTTTCCTTAAACATTATGTGTTGTAGAGGACACCCGGGGAAACGTAGGAGTCCAGAGGTCTTTGAAAAGGCTGTTAGTATGTGACCAAGATGTATACATAGCTCCAGAAAACAGTGATGTCATATGTAGGCTCCTGTGTCATTTTCTTATATCTGAGATTTTATTCATTCTGTCTTCCAACCCCTACGGCATTCCTTGTGGAAGTGAGAGCAAGACTAGAAATTCAATACCATGTTCTAAAACATGAGTTTATCCACCATTGTTAACTTCCCCCTCCCCCCACCAGGAACTCCCTAATGTCTGTTAATACTGAAGGGATGATCTTTAGTCTTGGATCTGTTCGTATGCTTCTGAATATTGTTGAGAGTACCAACAAATAATTCCAACTTTTATTTTTTCCATGGCGGTACAGAATACAGAATTTTTTTTAAACACAGCAGTGTTCATGTGTGATACAATAGATAAGAGATTTTTTGAGCTAGCAAATCCTTTAAAAGTTGTGTTAACTTTTTGGTTAAAGTTTTCATGTGAAAAATACATCTAGTTTTGTGATTTATTTATGGTGTAGGTTGTACATTTATTTGCATCTTTCAGAAAAGACCAAAATCATCATTTATCTTAGAGAAACTAATTATACTGCATATATTTCTGAAGGTCATTTTCTCCCTAAGAGTAGCTTTAACACAGAACTGCTAATTCTTCTTGAATGTCAAGCGTAATACTTTAAGAAAATTCTACATAGGTCATACCTTGCAAAGATTGAAGTGAAGGCTATAGTTATAAAGCTATAAGCCTTGGCCATAGTAATAAAATCGCACGTTGTTTTTTGTACATATTTTCTATTCAAAATCCAATACAAGAAGTAGGGTTTCTGTCATGGAATAAGTAAAACAAATGTAGAGTTGTATGGCTCCTGTGTCCAAGATACTACTAACATCACTGCCCAGTTGCCTGAGACTCATGGTGTTTGGGTTGATCTGCAAAAATATT